TCTTCACCTTTATACCACCATGCCGCTATAATGCCCTACACAATTACAAGTATACAACACATAGCATTTGTGTGATGATGATGACGATATTAAGAATGTGTCAAGGCTCATCAACCTTCTGGAGTTGTGAAGGTGAAATAATATCATCTCTGAAATGTTATAACCAGAGGTCTTTTTCCCCAGTTGCTGGTATGGTTGAATTGGCAAGGAAGGTGATCAGTTTTAAGCAATACATATAAGGAAGGAGCCACGAATAGGATGCTGAAATTGATAGTGGGAGGAAAACAGAGATTAATGACTAATTAATCTAAAAACCTAAAACCCAGGTGGTAAAGTAAGGCAAGATACCACCCATAGAAAAATGGATTGCCCACAATCCCTCAATCCCACCCACCCCTTATCTCGAATCCAGCTCAACAGTCGTGAGGGGGAAAAAGCAGGCAATTGATGATATTATTAAGCAATACACTCAAAACAATTTTTGGTTTATGGAAAAATCTTTTACACATCTAGATATTTTCTTTGCCCACCCTTGTTAGAGAGGATTTTTCTTTTAAAAAAACTAACCAACACAAGTTAAAGGAACAGATGTCACGTAACAAATGATTTATAGCTTTGCAACTATATTTTTTTGGGGGTCTACTTATGAATTAATGTATGTCTAGTTTATATGCATAAACATAGGAATTAGCAGGCTACTTACAGGAGGTTCCTTCTGGGCTCAATTGGAGCAGATGGAAGCATGCTTTTTCAAGTACACCATTATTTTAAGATAGTATAATGACTCTTAATGTTATGTAATGTTGAGACTTACATACCGATTCTAATTCTTTCAAAAATTATTGTGAAACAAATTAAAGTTTTTATGGTTTTAAATGGAAAAATAAAGGTTTCATGGTAAAGCTTTCCAAAACTTGGGATCACTGTTAAAATCCAACAAACGTTACAAAATTTGCACTTAGATTTGGAAATTCTAAATTGGAAAAAGATCAAAAGCCTCCTTTTATGTCCCCAGCAGGAGCTAGAGCAAAGGACAAGAGCTCACCCTGTCCCACAGCAGCACTTGGTCTCTAATGCAGGCTTGCTAACGTCTGGCCCATCTTCCTAACCACAAGAGCTACCGTGCTCCTCTCTAGACTCTGTAAGACAGAAGTGTCAAACTCGATTTCATTGAGGGCCGCATCGGGATTGTGTTTGACTTCGGGGGGCTGGGGTGGGCGTGGCCAAGGTATGTGTGTGGCCAGCTCAATGTTACTCGTGTCGGGGACGCCTGTGATGGCCCAAGCACCCTGACAATGAAAACGGTCTCCCGAGCTCTGTTTTCGGCTGTGATGGCTTCCTGCAACCCTCTGCCAGCGAAAACAGAGCTCGGGTGGGCTGCCCATGGCCCTCATAAGCTTTGTTTTTACTGGCAGAGGCACTGTGGGCCAATCCTTTGCTGTTTCCAGGGTGGCCCCACAGGCCAGATCTAAGCTCCTCGTGGGCTGGATCTGGCCCCTGGGCCTTGAGTTTGATACCCCTGCTATCAGACAAGGATTCCCTCTCCCTGTGTTGCATTTCATCTCAAAGTCTGGATAGCTCAACAGACAGAGCTCTGTAATTTAAGACCAGCTGTCTGCAATTAAAGTAAGATCGAATCCCACCAGGCTCAAGGTTGACTCAGCCTTCCATCCTTTCTAAGGTAGGTAAATTGAGGACCCAGTTTGTGGGGGTAATAAGCTGACTTTGTATAAATATACAAAAGTATGAAGGCTATTGCTTAACGCATTGTAAGCCTCCCTGAGTCTCCGGAGAAGGGCGGCATATAAATCAAATTTAAAAAAAAAAGTCTAAATCATTTTGTAATCTTATTCCATAAGAAACTGCCTCTTAAGTCATATGTTAAATTGTAAATCTATATTGTTCTGAGAATAGGAAATAGTGCAGTGCAACTGTAGTCAACATATATATGAATGACAATAGATGAAATTCAACATTGCCCGTATGCTGCTAAGAGCCACTTGTTGTGAGTTGGGTGATATAAATTTGGTAAACCAGCAAACAAACAAACAATACACATTCTAATTTTGACACTGGATTTTCCATGCAGGAGTATTTTAAAGGAATATAGGAAGTGCAGAGATAAGAGGAGTCACCGCTTTCTGTTCTATTGTTAAAAATAAATTTATCAAGGGAGGCATATCAAAGGATTTAATCCAATAAGAAGAATTTATGAATACTTTTTAGCTGGATGCAATGAGCCTTATAAATTAAACATGCAACCTCCAAACTCCCAGGGTCTTTAACTGTTAACTAAGCTATTTATATCAGCAATATTTAAAAAAATCGTCTCGAACCCAGACACGTCAATTAGATTTTCCATGAACATTAACTTTGAAGGGCTAGGAAAACAAAGTTTATACATAGAATATCTCCTTTTATAGCATGTCGTCAATAGCAAAAAGTCCACAGGAAATAAAGGAGCTGTCGCTGTTGAATTTCACCATTTCGTTTCTTATGATGCCAGCTCCTATTTTAGTTCAAAGCATTGCTAACTATCTCTGGAGATCTAAAAATCAAATAAGGCTTCAGCTTATCCAAGTTGGATAAATTGCTCCCTTGCTTTGAAAAAGAAAACACTCTTGAGATACTCCTGCAAAGAATGCAGAGCTAAAGACACTTTATCTGCTTGATGCAAAGAGAAGTTACCCACGCACTGAATTTGACAAATGTAAAAGATAATAAATTAGCTGGTTCTGGGCGCTTCCATGTTAAGGCTCCTGAGAGCTACTAATTAAAAGGCACCACACCACAGCCCCATTGTTTTCTCCTTAACAGATTCGCTCTGAAAAAGAATTACAGAAGAGATGAAGGTTGTCAATAGATATGGTGCCATTTGGAGCTCTGGCACTAATTTTATTTTATGCAACTTTATTTTATGCAATTTTATTTTATCATGGTTGTCAACCCTGAAGCTGACCTGACCAAAGCCATCTTGACAGCTTCAGTGTTGCCACACTGGAGCTGAGGGATAGGGAGGTGGGATTTGAGATAGCTGGGATTTTGTAGCCAAAGCAAAATACTTTCTCTTGGGAACCAAGGACATTCTCATACCTGGTCAGAGGAAGGCGGAGTGATATCACCAGGCAACCAAACCACACTGTGATTGGACCATGTGACTGATTCTTTTGAGAAAGTGACAAATGTTTACTTTTATTTAGGTGAAAACCACGGGAGCCTTTAGAGTTGGTTTTCACCATATCTGTGCCAATATAATATATCCAATAAAGCTGTTCTTTGAGGAATCTACCTGCCTCAGAGTTTTGCTTGTTATGGGTCTATTACTTGGAACCCTGACAATGGTCTTGATCATTCTGTTGGATGAAGATGTGGGCATACAAGTAGTCCTTGATTTACAACCACAATCAAGCCAAACATTTCTGTTGCTAAGTGAAACAGTTGTTAAGTGAATTTTGCCCCATTTTATGACATTTCTTGCCACAGTTGTTAAGTGAAATCACTGCAGTTGTTAAATTAGTAACACATTTGTTAAATGAATCTGGCTTCTCCATCGATTTTGTGATTACATGATCCCAGGACACCTGTAACCGTCTTAAATAGGAACCAGTTGGAAAGCATCCAAATTTTGATCACATGCCCATGGGGATGTTGTTTACAGTCATGTGTGAGAAAATGGTCATAAGTCACTTTTTTCAGTGATGTAACTGTGAACACTCATTAAATAAACTGTTGTAAATCAAGGACTACCTATAATTTAAATCAATAGAATTAATGTATCTATACTTTGGATTTATATCCCTTCTGTCACCCAGGAGCTTGAAGTAACATACACGCCATTCATTGTTCTTCAATGGTTTCCCCCAGGAACAGTTCTGGAAAATAGTTGGATTGTGTTGATTTGATGGCAACCCCAAAGATACTTTTCCCTTGGAGCAACGATGATGTGGATGAGTGAGAATCTCCATAGATCTTTGACCTGACAAATTGCCAGTGGACCAAAGTCATTCAAAGATGATAGGACTGGGATTATTTTTTTTCAGTCTTGAGGTTGCAGGTAATATGCAGTTATATTACCACAATGGGCAAGGAGAAAAAAAATCAACTTTTCTAATCCCTTTGAGTAGGGATGGAGATTATCTCCAAGAGTTTCTTTTTAAAGATTAGCAGTCTTGCGCAGAAGGAATAACTTTGAGAAAAGCTGCAACCTTCTCAAGGCAAGGATCTGATAAAAGAAATTTGAGTCCAGAGCAGAAATGTATTTTGAGACTGTGTCTCAGATATGAAGATAAAGAGCAGGGAGGGGGAAGCATATTCACACTTGCAGCATTCTCTTACTCTAACCATAAGTAATATTATCATTCATAACTTTTCTTTCCTAGTCTTGTTTATCTCAAAGGGCTGATAGCCGCAGAGGTTTTGTGCACCACTTTAAACACACATGCATCCTTTTATAAACCAAAAATCATACTGTCAAAGCTCACCTTTGGAGATCTGAGGTGTAGAGACTTCCTTGCTCCTTGGTTGCTCCATCTTATAAGACTATGATTCCAGGCATATTGGATGAGCTTCTCCTGCCATCCTGATCCTGGTGCTCTTCAGTAGGGTTAGGACCAGGGGTGAAATCCAGCAGGTTCTGACAGGTTCTGGAGAACCGGTAGCAGAAATTTTGAGCAGTTCGGAGAACCAGTAGTGGAAATTTTGAGTAGTTCAGAGAACTGGCAAATACTACATCTGGCTGGCCCCAGAGTGGGGAGGGAATGGGGATTTTGCAGTATCCTTCCCCTGCCATGTGACCTCCTTATGCACAGCAATTAGGTCTGGAATGCTCTGTTGGATGTTCCAACACAATTGTGGGGGAAACCAAAATGGCAAGCAGCATTATAGTCTCATTGGCCCCAAAGATTTTGGTGGGCATAAGCAATGATAGTAGCAACAGCAGCAGGAACTTAAGAATATGGATGTGACTTTGGTTCTTAATAGAGATATGACAGAACGTAGAATCAGTAGAGATTCTTTTGTTTATTAGAATTTTGTCACTGTGACCAAAAAAGGAGTATAATAAGGCTGTCATGCACATATAATTACACTGGATTCCAATACAAAAGGTACAATTAGGGCAAAACCATACTGAGCTTTGAAAATGCCTTCTTTAATGTCCAACTGATTTGTCCTCAAAAAGAAATTTATTTTTGCTAGAAGATTTTATTTGCCAGGGAGCTGAACAAAAGAAGTGAGAAACAAATACTTACGTTTCCTGTGCAATCACATTTTCACCGGGGTTGATGTAGTCCACTGACTTGACATGCACAGTAACAACAGTGTACAACAGTAACTTACACAACTGCAAAAGTGTTAAATTGCATACAAGCAGTATACTGTATTTTCAAAGTCACTCCAATAGACACAAGTAAATTAGCCAAGTGATTATATTCTGATAATATTTGAAACTACAGAGATGTATTAAGGAAACCATGTCTGATCTTCTATTATTTAACATTTAAAAAACAAGCAAAAAGATTTTAGCTTTAGAAATTGTACATCTGTGAAAGGTTGGGATGGGAACATTAAAATATGCACATAAACTCTTATGCATGAAGAAAATACATATCATTAATCCAATAAGAGACATAGAGTAAAATATTTTTGAGTCTTAACAATTCTCTCCTAATCACCAGCTAAATTCCTTGGCTGCAAAGTGGTAATGGATATATCATTTACCTAGAGCTACCTGTCCTCTTCACACAAAGCTGCTTTTTGCTAAATTAAACAAACAAAATAAACAATTGCAACTGTACATCCTGCCAAGTTCATGGAACAGAGCTTTCAAAATTTATGTCAACAAAGACATGCATACCTAATGTATTTATTGGCAGTATGCATTTCAAGCAAAATCTCTACACTACACTACTATATCTATTTTTTTCTTTACACCCAATAAATAATTAATCTGCATGATTTAAACATTTTCTCATATCTTTGGGCCAGATGGAAAGAACTGAATATTGTTCCACTTGGATACAATCTAAATTTTTGTAATTAGGTTATAGGTTTAATTTAGTACAAATTTGCATTAATCAGTTTAATATTTAATATGGAATTTCTTATTTCCTTAGATACTCCATCCTGGTCAAGGGTCTTTGCAATATACTATAATAGTAATAACAATAACCGAGCACTAGCTGTACTGGTCTGTTTGGACAAAAGAAAGAAGGAAGGAAGGAAGGAAGGAAGGAAGGAAGGAAGGAAGGAAGGAAGGAAGGAAGGAAGGAATTATTACTATTTATTATGTACATCCCCGTAGTAATATTGATAGATTATACCTGTTCTGCAGAAATGGAGGCTGAGATTTATTTCAAGCCAAACAAACTGTCAAAGAAATGCATGCATTGGGTATTTATGTAAAAGACAGACAAGAACAAGAACTGATGCAAGTTAAAAATTGGAATTTACTGAATGTACAGGAAACAAAACATGAATATTGAAATAAAGTAATAAATACATAAACAGAATGCTGGCAAGGAAAATCCATTACGTGGTCAGTTTCTACAAAAGATTAAGGGGAAGGTGGATAAGGATAAAATCTGGCAATGGCTTACAACAGGAACATGAAAAAAGAAAGTGAAGGCTTGATTTAGGCAGCTGTTTGAACTAATAAAATCAAGATTCGAACTGAAAAATCATCAAGTGATTTAAAGTGCAGATTGTGCAAAAAAAAAAAAAACACCAGAAAAAACAATAGATCACAAGATCACACAAACTGATTATAAACAATTGTTATAATAAAACAATTATAAACATGTTATAGACATAACATAATGGCCAATCCAAACATCTGGCTGACTTCACAACCAACAATAATTCAACTATTCTGCAAAGCATCCTATTTTCTGCAGTGCTAAATTTGAACCTGAGCTGTAGCATTTCAAATAGGGATACCTATTCACACATACTCACCTTCCTTACTGGAAACTAGTACGTCAGTACTATTTAAAACTAGTTAACTAGTTGTAACTAGTACTAGTTAAAAAGCTAGGTTAAAACTCTTTCTTCTGACATTATATGGGAAGAGGAAATGTATGTGTCTGTATGTGTGTTAAATCCATCTTGTAAAAAGTACAATTTATCCTCTCAAACTAACATATGAACTGCTATCCAGAAGCAGCCATAGTTAGAAAAGTCAGTAATGATTATGGCGACCAAATTAGATGACTGTGGAAAGGAATTGACTGTATTCATGGAGTAACTTAGTCCAACTTCAGCAGTCTGTTGGGTTGCCATATACTTTCTAGAGATAGCCTACATCTGCATAGCAATCACTCAGAACAGCCCCTTAAGAGAGCATATCAGGCATGTCGATCTCTCATTTTCTTCTTCTGTCCTAACATGTTCTCATGTGGTTTCTAGATCTAAGCACACGTGGGCCAGCAGGACCACTCTGAGGTGAGGTTGGGGAGTTTCTAAGTTCCATCATGGAGAACATCCGTTTCCAAAATTAGCTCACTCTCACACTGAAAGGGAAGCAAAACTGGCATATTGGAACTGCTTCTGTAAGCCCTTGGAGAGGGTGGAAGCATCTCTTTCTCTGATACGAGCCTTCCGTAATACTCTTCGTGGATGCTTGCTGTGGAGGGGAGTGGCTCATTCCAAGCTACAATGGCATGTGCGGGTAATGACAACGGGGAATCTTCCTCTTTTCTGTGGGGGTAGGAGGTCAACTCACCGCTCAGATGGACTCTCTGGGTGGCAGAACGGTTGGGAACACAACAAGGAAGATGGTGGCCACCCAACAGGCTCCTGAATGCCCGCTGGAAGTCTACATTGAAAGCATAGATCACTGGGTTGATGGTGGAGTTGGCCCAGCCAAGCCACATGAAAATATTGAAGACAGATAGGTTGATGCAGGTCAGTTGCTCAGGGCTTCTGTCCATGGACCCTGTGTCACAAAAGGGCAACAGGCAATTGAGCAAGAAGAACGGCATCCAGCAGCAGACAAAAACTCCTAAGATGATGGTCAGGGTTTGAAGCAACTTGGTTTCTTTGCACAGTGAGCTGCGCAGAGAAGAAACAGGCTCCTTCCCCTTGACCAAGCCAAGGCCACCTGCTCTTTCCAAGGAGGAGATGCGATGGATCTGAGCCTTAGCAATGCGAAATATCTGTGCGTACATCCCAATCATGATGGAGACGGGAATGTAGAAGCTGATCAAGGAGGAGGCGATGGCATAAGTACGGTTGAGACGAGTGTCACAGTGATAGGGAAGCAAGCCAGGGGTCCCCTCGGCGGTGTGCCAATGGAGGTGGACAGGGATGAAGGAAATGAGGACAGAGAGGGTCCAAGCCAACGTGATCATCGTGAAGGCCAGGGACTGTGTCATCCGCCGCTCATAGCAGAAGGGGTTGGCAATGGCCCAGTAACGATCCAGGCTGATGATGCAGAGGTGGAGGATGGAAGCTGTGGAGCACATGATGTCAAAGGCCACCCAGGTGTCACAGAAGTGGCTGCCAAAGAGCCACGCTCCACCTGCAACTTCTGTGACCGCCTTCCAGGGCATGACCAGCAGTCCTACGCAAAGGTCAGACAAAGCCAGGGAGAGCACAAACCAGTTGGTGGCTCTGGTCCGCAGATGGGGGAACCGGAGGACGGCCAGGCACACCACACTGTTGCCCACCAGGGTGCTCAGCACCAACAGCGACAGCAAGCATCCTGCCAACACCCTCAAGCCACTGACTGGGCCCTGGGGCTCCCAGACCTCCCAGCTGTGGTTGGATGCATTCTCCATCAGGGAAGGTCTTTCTCTTTCTCCTTTTCTCAGCTTCTTCTTTGGAAAAAAAACTTTCCCTCCCCGAGCCTGAATTTGGCGGGGGCTTATAAGGGACCTGGGCAGCACAGGCTCATCAGCAGTTCCACAATGCCAGCATCTTCGAATCAGGATCAGGATCACAGAATTGGAAGGGACCTTGGATGTCTTCTAAGAGCCGCGATGACGCCGTGGTTAGAGTGCAGTACCGCAGGTTACTTCTGCTGCCTTCCTGCAATTTGGCAGATCGAATCTCACCAGGCTCGAGGTTGACTCAGCCTTCCATCCTTCCAAGGTGGCTAAAGTGAGGACCCAGATTGTCGGGGGCAAGATGCTGACTCTGTAAACCGCTTAGAGAGGGCTGTAAAAGCACTGTGAAGCGGTATATAAGTCTAAGTGCTATTGCTATTGTAGTCCAACTCCCGGCTCAAGCAGGAGATCCTATACCATTTCAGACAAATGGTGGTCCAGCCTCTTCTTAAAAACCTGCATTGATGGAGCACCCACAATTTCTGGAGGCAAGTTCACGGACGATGAGAACGATGAAACGGACGATGAGAACTTCTCTTAGGAAGTTTCTCCTCCATTCCAGCTTCGCTTCTGTCCTTGATCAGTTTCCACCCCTTGTTTCTTGCCTTGCCTTCTGGTGCCTTGGGAAATAAGTTGACTCCCCTTCTTCTTTGCTGGCAGCAGCTCCTCAAATCCTGGGATAATCACACTGCTCTCCCATCACCCTTCATAATGACCAACCAGCCCATGAAGAGTTCTACCACGGGCTGCCTTCATTCTTGAGAGTGGTCCAAGGCAACGCAGACTGGGGGGGAAAAAGACGAGGAGAGAAGCAAAGTGGACAGCGCGTCTCCTGCTTGAGTTGCCTCTGCTTCCATTGCCAAAACTTTCCTTTGCCTTCCTTGCGGCGAGCACGGATCCCGGTCCCGGTTGGATGGTCCTGGAGGAGACGGCCGGCTCCTTCCCGGCTGGAGCGGTCGGGGCTGCTGTGGAGCCGCTGGGATGCTACGAAATCTGGGCGCTCTGTCGCTCCCTTGACGCGGAGGCGAGCAGAGGAGGTGAGGCGAAGAAGGAAGGAGCCAGTCCCGGGTGCGATGCACCCACGAAGCAGGTTAGCTGCTTCCCGGCGTCTCGTTTGGAGATGGATCGCCCCGGATCGTCTAGCCAGTTTTTCGCTACTGAAAGAAGGGGGAAGATGCCTTCCCTTCGCTGGGTCTAAATAAGCCAGCTCAAATTACCGATGCCAAAAATAATAATAATAATAATAATATTCTGAGTTCTTTCCTATCCTGAGCCAGCTTCAGACTGGGCTCTTCACAGCATCGTGGGAAGGAGGCAGAAATTCTACAGGTGCAGCTTTCCGCTCTGATAAGGAGGAAGGTGGGTGGGGGGAGAGCCTAATGCACAATTGTGTACTGCCTTACAATTAAAAAAAAAAAACAACCGAAAAGAAAAAACCCACTGGATTGAAATGTCAACTGATGCTGAATTCCAAATGGGCCAGCAAAGTTTAAGCCTCTGAGAAAAGGGCTCTAAGAGGCACTTTCTCCAGTTCCCTTGAATGGGATAGTAATGACAGGATTAACAGAAGAACAGAGTTGGAAGGGATCTTGGAAGTCTTTTAGTCCAGGGGTCTCCAACCTTGGCAACTTTAAGACTTGTGGACTTCAACTCCCAGAGTTCCTCAGCCAGGGAGTTGAAGTCCACAAGTCTTAAAGTTGCCAAGGTTGGAGACCACTGGACTAGTCTAACCCTCTGCTCAAATAGGAGACCCTGTGCTATTTTCAACAAAGAATAGAATAGAATAGAATAGAATATAGACTAGACTAGACTAGACTAGACTAGACTAGACTAGACTAGACTAGACTAGAGTAGAGTAGAGTAGAGTAGAGTAGAGTAGAGTAGAGTAGAGTAGAGTAGAGTAGAATAGAATAGAATAGAATAGAATAGAATTCTTTATTGGCCAAGTGTGATCATAGGACACACAATTTGTCTTTGGTGCATCTGCTCTCAGTGTATATAAAAAGACAAGTTACATTCGTCAAGAATCATAAGGTACAACACTTAATGATGGTCATAGGGTACAAATAAGCAATCAAATCATACTAGGAAACAATATCAATAGAAATCGTAAGGATACAAGCAACAGTTACAGTCATGCAGTCATAAGTGGGAGATGATGGGTGATAGGAACGATGGGAAGACTAATAGTAATAGTAATGCAGCCGTAATGAATAGTTGGACAGTGTTGAGGGAATTATTTGTTTAGCAGATAATAAATGAATAAATATAATAATATTTATAATATAAAATAGTATATATAATTTATATATTATAAATAATAAAAATGAATAAAAATAAATACAATAAGTAAATAAATTAGCAGATAATAAATGGTTGTCCAGTCCCTTCTTAAATGACATGAGTTCAATGTGCGGTTACCTGCCTTGATTGTCAGGAAGGAGATAAACCACCAAAGCGGATCGATCTGCCTCTCCCTCCTTCACACAAAAGCACCCAGTTTATCAGTGTATCTTATCGCAGCCCTGAAATCACCCTGAGGGTTTTTAATCTGTGCTATTGTGGCTTTTGAAAAGAGAGAGACAGCAGTTAATCTGATTAAAAGGGTTTCCTGAATTGTGGTTAGCCATTCCGCTCAGTTGTTTCTTTTGTGTTTTGATTTGGAGAGTTTATTGCTCCCATCCTTCAGAAGAAAATTATACCAGCCTGACATTTGCCTTCCTGATTGTCCGCCTCTATCCTGATTTTGTTACTCCCAGTCGCTGCAAGTTAATAGGTGACAAAGCTAAACACATTTTACATCCCTTCTGGTTGTCTTGAGATGAGGCTGACACAAGAGAGAGAATGCTCCTTTAAGACCAGAATAGCTAAGAGTCTCACTCATGGATTGGACATGAAATGAAGGCAATACAATTAATTGTTAGCATTATTTGCATCTTTTAAAATTTTATATGCTTTTTAAATACAGAGCAGAAAATACATAAATATATAAATAGAAAACATATGAAGAATAATTGCAGGAATTAGGTATGTCTACTGAAAAGAAGGACATGATAGCAGTATTCCAATATTTGAGGGGCTGCCACAAAGAAGAGGGGGTCAAGCTATTCTCCAAAGCTCCTGAGGGCAGGACAAGAAGCAATGGGTGGAAACTAATCCAGGAGAGAAGCAACCTAGAACTAAGGAGAAATTTCCTAACAGTGAGCACAATTAACCAGTGGAACGTCTTGCCTTCAGAAGTTGTGGGTGCTCCATCATTGGAGGCTTTTAAGAAGAGACTGGCTAGCCACTTGTCTGGAAGGGCATAGATAGGGTCTCCAGCTTGAGCAAACTAGAACCTCCAAGGTCCCTTCCAAGTCTTTGATTCTGTTATTTTATTAAATGTTTCTAATATTATATTTGGACACCTCGCAGAGTCCCTCTATAATAGAGATGGGCAGTTTTTAAAATTTGATAAATAATTAGCAAACAAACAAACAAAAATATCAGAAGGCATGACAGAAAAAGGAGGCTCCCAGGGCAAAAATCTGTCTTGGTTAGTGGGATAATCAGCAAGTCATATGCAGGAACGTAGAAACTTGGCCATATGTTTTGGTCACAGATGATTAAAATCATGGGTGCCTTCTTTACCAGGGCTTGATTACTGTGGCTCACTTAAACCTTGGTTTACTGAGTGAGCCACTGTTGGCTGTGCTAAGCCACAAATCACAGCATAAAATGGCAATTGTTGGCTGACAAATTCCAAGTCAAGTCCAAGCCAACCATGTCACAAGAGTGCATGATGGGTGAATGAGGCAACATGTTAAAGCAATTCAAAGAGTTTGGCCCTTCCGTTAAAGCTTGTTTGTTCATTATCTATTTTCATATTAGATTTATATCCCACCTTTTTTATCCAGAACTCCAGACAACCTACTTATCTTCTTCTTTGTATTTTCTCCAAAGCAGGAATCATTTGAGGTCAGTTGGGCTGAGAGAGAAAGAGACTATAATACTCCAAAGTCACTCATGGAATTTCTGTGGTTGAGGCCGGTCTCAAACATGTCCCCTCCCATGTTCCTACCACTATGTGTGTGCGGTGTTAGTGTTGTGGTCTGCCAGCAGCCTGCAGAGCTGGCAGCAGAGTCGGACAGCGATGAGGCTGAGGAAGAACCTGAGGCTGGGGAAGGCCCAGATGAGGGCTCTGCGTCAGAGGCAGAGATGGGGCCAGGGCCATCGGGAAGTGATGTGCGGACTCCGGAGCCTCCAGAGGCTGACAGTAGAGAGGCAGATGAACAGGAGGAGCCTGTTCCTAGTGCACATATGAGAAGAGCTGCAAGAAAGCAAGAGCAGCTAAAGCAAAGAGGACGACTTGGGAGTAGGGCCAAGAGATGATTGACCCCTCCCATAAGGCTTAAAAGACCAACAACGGCTCTTGGACTCTTTGTCAGAAAACAATGTGGATAGACTTGTTCTTGTCTTGCTGCACTTATCTCTTGTTGATGTCTTCTGCTTCTGAACTTTTGCCAAGAGAAGCCTTTGGCAGTTTGCCTAATTATACCAAGGTTGGTGATTAGACTGAAGAATTTGTGTTATGAAGAATTTGTTTTAATTTAGTATGGACTACGCTGAGAATGAATTAATTCTCAGCTGTTCTAATAAAGTCTGTTTCTTTTGGAACTGTTTGCGTCAACTATTACGTACTTGGGCCTGGGTCACAACAGTTAGATTAAAAAGTATCTTTCATTTATTGTGACATATATAGGTAGTCCTTGGCTTATAACAATTGAGCCCAAAATTTATGTTGGTAAGTGAGAATTTGTTAAGTGAGTTTTGCTCCATTTTACAACATTTCTTGCCACAGTTGTTAAATGAATCACTGCAGTTGACAAGCTAGTAACATAGTTGTTAAGTGAAGTTGGCTTCCCCGTTGACTTTGCTGATCAGGAGGTCTTAAAAGGGGATCATGTGACCCCAGAACATTGCAACCGTCATAAATATGAGTCCGTTGCCAAGAGTCTGAATTTTGGTCATATGACCATGGGGATGCTGCAATGGTCGTAAGTGTGAAAAATGGTCACAAGTCACTTTTTTCAGTGCCGTTGTAACTTTGAAAGGTCACTAGTGAACCGTTGTAAGTCGAGGACTACCTGTGCTGCATATGATAATGTAATCTTTTTCAAATCTCCTTGAATATCATATTCAGGAAGCCTGCATAAAAGTTTTTCTTCCATGAAATATTATTTAATGTGATATATGGAGGCTTTCCTTTGCTGGCGATGATTAAGAGAATCATGTCTTAGAGATTATTTTGCAATTATCTTTGCTGAATAGAACCTCTCTGATTAAGATGTTTTATACTGATGCCGTTTTTATTCCAGACACTACCAATATGAACAACTGATGTTCCATTTAAACAACGACAAAAGCATATTTCTAAGCTTATCTGGCAAGAAAAAAACCCTGAGAAGATTAAATATAAATTGTTGCAAGATGCTAAAAGAAAGAGGTGGTTTTGAGTCAGGGGTGGATGCCACTTAACTTTACTACCGGTTCACAATGGGGCTGCGCACGCACACTTCTGCGCATGTGCAGAAGCTTCCAGATGACATTGGGGTCAGTGGGCGGAGCCTCCCGCCAGTTTTACTACCGGTTCTATAGAACCGGTCCGAACCGGGGGCAACCTACCACTGTTTTGAGTTATCAGATTTAACACTGTGCAGGTAGTCCTCGACTTACAACAGTTCATTTAGTGACCATTCAAAGTTACAATGGCACTGAAAAAAGTGACTTATGACCATTTTTCACAGTTACAACCTTTGCAGCAGAACCCCATATGGTCATGTGATCAAAATTCAGATGTCTGGCAACTGGTTCATACTTATGACCGTTGCAACGTCCTAGGGTCATTTTTTGCAACCTTCTGACAAGCAAAGTCAATGGGGAAGCCAGCTCAATTTAACAACCGGGTTACTAACTTATCAACTGCAGTGATTCACTTAACAACCGTGCCAAGAAATGCCATAGAATGGGGCAAAGCTCAACTTAACAAATTCTCACTTAACAACATAAATTTGGGGCTCCATTGTGGTCATAAGCCAAAGGACTACTGTTGTAAATCAGAGGTCCAGGCTTTTGCTCTGTTCCAAAATGTCTCTCCCGCTTTCGCAGAGAGCTTTATTTTTATACAGTTTTACACAAGCAGATAAAAGGCAGGCAAGCAACAGTGTTCTAATTGGACAAACTATTCACCCCCCTCTCAAGGTGCCATCCTCTGA